AGATGTTTTACAATTTTTAAAAAACTTTAATTAAAGATATCTTGCCAACCACATGACCAAATTTACTAAAAAATTTTTTATTTAAATTTTATGAATTCATAAAATTCAAATAAAAAAAATTTTATTGAATTTGGTTATGTGGTTATAAGATACCTTTAGCTAAAATTTCATTAAAAATTTTGGTATAACTTTTATTTAATAGATGTTTATAGATATTTTACAATTTTAAGAAACTTTGATCAAAGATATCTTGACAACCATATGATCAAATTTGATGAAAACTTTTTTTTTGAATTTTATAAATTTATAGAATTCAAATAAAAAAATTTTTACTGAATTTGGTTATGTAATTGTTGAAATACCTTTGATCAAAGTTTCATTAAAAATTTTAATACAACTTCTATTTAATAAATGTTTATAGATATTTTACAATTTTTAAAAAACTTTGATCAAAGATATTTCAATAACTATATATTCAAATTAGATAAAATTTTTTTATTTAAATTTTATAGATTCATAAAATTCAAATAAACAAATTTTATCAAATTTAATTATATAATGTTAAGATATTATTGATTAAAGTTTTTTAAAAATTGTAAAACAAAAGTAATATAATTGAAATAATCTACAATTATAATATATAATAAGTGTAATAGAATAGTACAATTAGATTCATCCTTCATTTTAAACTTCCTAAATCTAAATCTGTATTAATATTACTAATTATATTCAAATTATTATTTCAATTTTAGAATTATTTTATTTTCAAAATAAACTTTCCAAAGCCTTCTGCACTTATTTTTATAACTGAACTAGATATTATTATAGCAAAACTAATATTTGTAATTAGAACTGATTATTAAAAACTATACTCTTATAAAGTTCATTTAAACTTTAGTATCTATTTTATAGCATATTTCTAATACTTTAGTATACCTCTGTCTGTTCTTCAGACTTCTAATCTAAATAGTCTAGTAGGACTATATTCATTTTATTAGTATATCAAATCAGTCTGATATTCTTTGTTTTTAGTTTATTCTGCAACTGAACTTATAATACTTTCCACCTAAAGGTTTTTGCCTATCTGGGTATTTTAACATTGGTATCTGTTTTCTAGATCTAGTTTTTACAATAACACTATCAAAATCCATACTACCTCTCTATTTAGATTTTTCTAAATATACTTCTTATTGCCCAATTTTAATAAATTTGTAAGATCATAAGACTTATATAAAATTTACACTATTTGATGCTGGTTTGCATTCTTTTGTAATATTATATTTACACAAATGCTTATAACCTGCCAGGCATACTAGTATAACTGCAATTACAAGTATCTTGATTCAATTATTATAAACAGTTGCTGTAATATAAGTATTACATAGATAATAATTTAAATTTTTACTGTTGATAGAATTTGAACACCCAACCTACTATTTTGAGGGTTGACAATTTATCTACTTTACTAAGTCACTACACTTCTAAATAAATTTTTATTTGATTGTTTAATTACTTATTATATATATATAAAAACTTTATAGCAAAAGGTGATAATAAACCAAAAAAATTTTTTTGCAATTGGTTAATATTGTGTTCTAAGTAATTTAGTTTTAGCAAAAATAAAATTTTTACAAAAAATTTTTTAATCCATCATTACCTTTTGCTAAGGCTCTGTATATACATTGTTATAATATTTTGCAAAGATTTATTTATACATTAAATAAAGATTTACCTATACACTAAATTTACAATTCCAATCTCACATGTTCAACACCTCTTCTTTTATTTATATTTTAATATCATCCTTTCTTACTATACAAAAACAAGACAAATTAATAAAAAAAAAACTTCAATGCTTAATATTTACAGATTCAATTTTTCATACCTTTATCCATTATGAGTTTGCTAATTGTCCTCTAAGTATATATTTCACTCTTTTTATTAAAGTACACCTTATTCAAAGGTGAAATAAAATGGATCTCATTTAACTTCCAAATTACTTTACGAATTACTGAATTACTTTTACTATTTATAAAATAAGACATGAACTTTCTAATTCTGCTTGTCTTACTCTCTAGGGATTCGTATTTGTGGCTCAGAATTCAATCTTGTAGCAGAAATCGTTACTTTAAAAGGACTTCCTTATGATAAGATGCTATGCTCTGCACAATAATTATCTTTCATTAAAAGCTTGTTACTGCTATTATCATAATTCCTAAACACCTCACAAAATTAGCCGAATAATTTTTTGGCTGATTTCGGCATGATTGGTATATAAATTACATAAATATAGTAATTCACGTTACCTATAAATTACATTGTAATTTGAATATACGTTTTCACACCAACAAAGCATGTTCTAAATATATTTTAAACATGTTGAGTAAGTGTTAGTGTTAAAGCGAAAATTTAATAATATTGAACGTGTCGACATTTATAATGCTAAAATTATCAGTGGAAGTATGCATGTAACATATGTCCTTTATATATAGTATATACAGTATATAGGGTGGAAATTATTGTAATTTACATGTAAGTTTCTGGCATGTAATTTTTGATATGTGAATACGGGATAACGTTGGCTAAAATTTCATAAATCTGGCTAAAACCTTGTAATGCGGATGAATAATCATGTGCTAGTGCTCTAGTTAGTGTAGAGGTTATGTACAATTTTGTAATTTTATTTATTATGCCAAAATTACAAACTTAACCGAATCAGCCAAAAATCATTCGGCAAATTTGCTTTCCCCAGCGTAACCAACAAAAAATCTCGGGTACGTAACGATTTAGTGTTGTTAGGCGAAACTTAGAGGTTTCTCCAAAAAAAAATTGAAAATGGCGAAATGGCGAAACTGTCGAAACTGTCGAAACTATTAAAAGATGAAAAATAATAAAATTAGTAAAAGATAAGAAAATTAATAAAATAAGTACTAATAGAAAGATTTATTTTTTTATTTATATATAAGATAAAAGGAAGTATTATAATGTATGTCCAATTACAGAAATCGGAAATAGATAATTTTATTATTATTTGATTTATTTTAAATAAAGTATCAGAAACTAATTGTCAATAATAATGTTGACAAATTACTATAGCATTTAATTAAATTTTAATGATGAAATGCTTGTAAAGAAAAAATCTTAAATATATAATAGTAAATTTATTTAAATATTTTGATAAGTTCATTTTATACAAATAATATTAATACATAAATAAACACTACTAAAAGAAAACAGGATTTCAAACTTTGAATTTCAGGTGCTGAATTGATTTATTACAAGTTCAAAAGCCCGAAGTCTAGTTTTCTTTTAATAGTATTCAAATACAAATAAAGACCATCATTTTGTTTATTGCTTTTGTACATTCTTATATAAGCCTGCTGTGCTTAATGGCCACATGCAAATTATTTTGATTCACCAACATGGTTCAGTCTTTCCAAAATCTTAGAGGATTTAATCGACGCTGTGTTTAACTTTCTCCAAGGGTTTTAGCTTTACTGGGAGTTTCGTCAGAGTTTCGACGTTTCGCCGGAGTTTCGCCAGTTTCGACTTTCGCCGGGTTTAGTTTTGACTTTCGCCATTTACCAAAAATAGTTTCGCCTAACAACACTATAACGATTGAAAATGCATTTATGTTAGGGTTAGCTTTACTTTAGAGTTAGGCGTTAGCGGGACATACCGTACAGCGCTGCATACAGTACCTCCCTGGAGTGGTATTCCCCCTTTTTTTGACAAGCGATTTGTGATCTAATTTTCTTAATTATAGTGCGATCTTTTCATAGGGTTTGATATGTCTAATAGCAAGGTATATATTGATTAATGACAATTATTTGTATTATCCTCCAATCTTCCAATATTTTGGGGGTATAATTCAATCTAGGCCGGCTTTCTTGAAAAATACCCGGGATACTATATGCAACGCTGTACGGTAGTAGCAAAATCGCCCTGATCGTGCTACGTTACACAAAATAGTGATTATCCATTGGGTAATTTCCTGTCGATCATCACGTGCCGGAGATTTTTGTAGCCTTATCGACGCAGCATAGCCAGCATTATCGTTAAGGTATTAGAATATGGCAGAATTAAGAGATTAGATCACGTGTTGATGTGTCTTTAGCATTTTACATATCAGGTGATCCGGAAATTATGATTATAGCAGTTCACGGGTACAATCTCTAACCCAGGTACGACCATATATGAACCCACTTTGTCCCATTATTTTGTAAATTACTGTAATTTTATAATGTAATCATAACTTTGATACTTAACGTAAACTAAATTTTACGTCATTTAAATGCTACAATGCGAATCGTCAAGTGACGAAATTAACGCTGGCCAAACTTTACAATGAATTTACCATAAAATCTCGAAATAGTGGGCATGAGTGTTATTTCGAGATTTGGCCTGAATTAAGCTTAATTTAGGCCGAAATTTGTAATTTCACCCCTGCGTGTTATTTCGAGATTTTACGGTACCTAAACTTATATAAGATTTCATGAAATGTACACAAGGAACTTAAAATTTTGTTGTATTGAGAGGTCATAGGATCTTTTTGTTTATGTCATCGTATTTATCTTTTTTTAAATGTTAACAACTAATCACATTTTTGTTTCACCTCAAAGTTTATAAATGCATTAACAAATTATCATTTAATTTGTATAAAACATTACTAGCTTCGGACTATAATGACCTTCGTTTTCTTAGCATGCGCATGTGAACACCATTTAAGGATTTAATGAATTCAATCAAATTAAAAATTTTTCTTAAATAGCGGTCAAGTGATATATGAAACTCCATCCATTACCTTTCAAGTCATGTATTACAAAAAAGAGTTTGGAAATAATATTCGGATGTATGTACTGTATTACGTTTATTTACTTAAATGGCAATTAATTCTACTTATATATAGCATATATGCGCCAACCGAAGCCTAAAATTGAACGTTTAGTTTTCTTATTCATTCTCTCGAGATTCATTTTTTCAAGATTCATTTTTTCGAGATGTCAGTAGCAACATTAACCAGAGGTAAGACATTACAAGTCCAAGTTCATTTTATTACGCACATCTTTTACAAAGAATGTTTATTATGCAGCCTCTAATGAAATTTCTGAAATAAACGACAATGAACCTGCTATCTGTAAATTGGAGAAAAAACAATCAAAAACACGTTTATCTAAAGTTGATAAAAGTTTTAACAAGATTAAACAAGATGAAAAAAAGGACATAAAGGTTGAAAATGCTATTAAGCAAGATGATGATGAACAAAAAGGCATAAAGGTTGAAAATGCTATTAAGCAAGATGATGATGAACAAAAAGGCATAAAGGTTGAAAATGCTATTAAGCAAGATGATGAACCAAAAGACATAAAGATTGAAAAAGCTATTAAACAAGATGATAAAAAAAAATACATAAAGATCGAAAAGACTATTAAACAAGAAGACGAAAAGAAAGGCGGTAAAATTGAAGGTAAATATAGAAATTTTGATCATTTCAGCTCGGTTCATAGCATATACTAGTGAACTATGAGTCAGAGAAATCTGTTCATAGCGTAACCAAAGATAAATTGAGATTCTTGGTTAAACAGACAAATATATATATATTATCTACTAGTTGGGTGGTGATTATATTCTTGAGCATTTTAAGCAAAAACGAAAAAGAAATATCTTTATAGTTATTTTCATTACACTTAATACCTCGATACTATATACTCAACTCTGGTACTCTCACTTCGTAGACAATCACTTCGCAAATATCTTAGTTCACATACAATCAATTCACAGATAAGCTTATTTTACATACAGTTTATTTACCGACAGTTCATTTTGTAGACAGGTTCCTCTTATCGATAGCTCATTTCACTGACAAGATAAATTACTAAGATTAGGGATATAATTAGATATAAGGTTAAGGCAGTTTAAAGTTTATACAAGAAATTAACTTGTCAGTGAAATAGACTTCTGTAAAGTAAGCTTGCTGTGAATTCGTTGTCCGTGAATTAAGGTGAAATGAACCATTCAACTCATGATTCCAGATGCTGATACTTTATTGTTGGATTCTGTGCCACACTTCTATTTGGCGTATAGTTAGCAAAACTATTTTGCAGCACTATAATTAAGCACTTTACTAAATCTTGATTACAACAACTTTTAGATCCAAAACCTGCAAACAGTGACTATTCAACATTAACTAAGCAAGAACTTTTGAAATTGCACAAAAAATTGATTGAAATTAATAAGAAATTGGAACAACAAAATATTGAGTACGAAAAATTATTCTACCAGCAAGAAGAGAAAATCAAAACTTTGCAAAAAGAAATAAAAGAGCAGAATAAATTAATTGAAGAGAGTAAGTACAATTTAAAGAACTTTTAATTTTTATTTTTAATAAGTTACGTCATTTCTGATAATTTATTATTTTGTTAGATTCTTTAATGAAATTACATATTAACAATTTAAACAAAGAATTAGCAGGTAATTTTGATATTATTATCGTAATATATTAATTCATTTTAATATTAATCATGGTTTTTTTAATTTCAGGAATGGAAAACATTGAAAAGCAGTATGATCTTATCGAAGATGTCAAATGTTCTTATTTTCATAGTTGGTTTTCCTACGTGCCTTTAGCTTCTATTAGTTCAAAGATTAAATCATCACCAACTTTATCAGAAAATGAAGACACGCATCAAAAGCATTTTATAGAGCAATTTAATTCAATTTATTCTAGATTAACAACCTCTAAAAACTCGAAATATTCAACCCATAATACTAGTTATTCACCCTATTTGGATGGTTTAAAACCTGATGTTTCTGTGACTGAACGTGATTCTAAACCTACATCTTCAAACGTGATTATTATTGGAGAACTTAAACGTGTTAGATTAACTAAATCGCATTATGAACAAGTATTTAATTATGGAATTAAAATTCTTCAAAACCAACTTCCAAGAAAAACAATTTTTGCTTTTTTAACAAACCATCAGCAAATCATATTTTTTAAAATTCAAAGAAAAAATTCCAAATTTTCGTGTGAACATTCTTTAATTTATAATTTTAACTATGAGAATATCGGATGGAGAATGTTGATGACTTTGGTTCAAAAAGATAAAAAAGAACTTGGATATATTTCAGTATGCTGATTGTATAATTTAAATAAAGTTTCTATCCTGTATATAACTTTATATTTGTAAAATTATATATATATTAATTATTCCAAATCGTATTAGTATGTTTGAAGTTATAAATATTCTTATTTCTAAAAGTGGCTGGTCTGCTTCATTATATAGGTACAATTTACGAATCATGAAAATAACAATCCAATTTTTATCACATACGTATATGTTAATTTTTAACAATATGATTATTTTTACTGATATTGTAATTTAAATAAATGTTCATAAATTTCAAAAATAAATAAGTTAATTTAGTTAGAATATGCATTCACGAAGATTGAATTTGTGAATCAATAGTATTATACGATTTTTTTTTAATTTAGTTATCTTTATTATTTAGCAAAATTTGTAACAATATTTTTGAATGTTCAATAATCTTTTTATTATATGACTAGCATTACAATAACTTGTTCCGATCAAAAATAATATACATATAGGATAAGTAATAATCTTTAACGCTAAAATGAGTAATTATCTACGCTTTTCTGTTATTTACTACCTTTTCTTTTTTTGATCGACAGTTGATTTTCTGTGTACTATACTAAAATGCAAACAATTTAACTCCGTTTTTTTTTAAAAAAAATCTAGACATATTATAAATATAAAGTGTGTATGCACTTTAAAATGTTTCTTTTTACAATTGAACTCTACTATAAAATACAGTCAGACCACTATAAAGTCGCACCCTATATAATCACACCGCTAAATAAGCACCTGATTTGTTAAACAAATTACTGTAAAAGTATAGAAAAAATCATCTAAAAAAAACTATCATCCCAACTACGTGACTATAGAGAGGGTTGATTGTATACTCAGAATCTACCGAATTGGTATTGTAACGGACTCGAATCTTGTATAAGGCCGTCTACGATAATTGATATCCCAAATCATTACATGATTTACTTAAATAGTTTCCAATAATTAAGAAACTTTAAAGAAATCATAATCATTATCACTTAAATCTAAAGATTTCAGAGTAGAGTTGGAGAAAAAAGCTTCGTTTAATGCCTTTACACCTTCAACACCAAGTTGATTATAACTAAGAATCAAAGTTGTTAAAGTAGTGTTTTTACAAAGTGCATCAGCCAATGCTTTTCCTTCTTGAGGACCAAGTTGATTATTACCAATATCTAAGGAAATCAATGTAGTATTCTTACAAAGAGTTTCAGCAAATGCTCTTCCACCTTCAGAACCAAGTCGATTAAGCCAAATATTTAGCAAAACTAGAGTTTTATTTTCACAAAGGGCCTTTGCTAGTGCTTTCCCACCTTCAGGACCAATGTAATTATTACTAAGTTTTAAATGTGTTAAAGTACAATTTCTACGAAGTGCATCTGCTATTACTTTTCCACCTTCGGGACCAAGAGGGTTACCACATAGGTCTAAAGTAGTTAAAGTAGTATTCCTATAAAGCGCTTTTGCTAATGCACTTCCTACTTCCGGCCCAAGCCCATTTTCCTCAAGACTTAAAGAAACAAGTGTAGTATTTTTATAAAGGGCTTCTGCAAACGCTTTTCCGCCTTCAAATCCAAGTTGATTATCATAAAGTTTAAAAAAGGTCAGTGTAGTATTTTTAGAAAGTGCTTCCGCTAACACTTTTCCACCCCCATAACCAAGTTGATTTTGGTTAACGTTCAATGAGATCAATGTAGTGTTCCTAGAAAGTACTTCCGCTAATGCTTTACCACCTTCAGAACCGAGTTTATTATTCCAAATACTTAATGAAGTTAGATTTACATTTTTAAATAACGTTTTTTCTAATAAATTTATCATTTTTTTGTCAATAATATAATCATGAACGATCAAATTTTTTAGTTTAGTATTGGTTCGCAAAAACATTGCAATTAAAGAAGATCTAATAGGTTGAACCATCTCCATATAATAATTACGAGATCCACATCCTTCACATTTAAGCCAATTTATGATTCCATTAACTTCATCTCCTGGTAAGACTTCAATATCTGTAATGTATGTAATATATTCAAATAATGGTTTTTGTCCATTTGGAAACCTTATATCAAGTGGTATTAATGGTGCTTGTTCTTTAACGTTTAAAGCTAAAAGACATGTTCTTATTAATTTTCTATTTTTAAAAGGGATAGGTCCGTTCCATAATATAGGTACAGCATTTCTACACCATTCGCGGTTTACAAGAATGCATGAAAATAAGCTCTTACGATAATTTTTCTTAAGGTTCATAAATATATCAAAGAGACATTCATTTGGTAATGTTGTCATTTTTAAAGCGTTAAAAATATATCAATGTTTAAGTTTGGAGAACAAATTTCGGGTTATATATACTTATGTTGCGCAAATTGTGAATGACAGAATGCAATTTATTTCTCGATACGTATATGCTGTGTTCAAGTCATCCCTTACTCGGAGCTGCTACTTCAAGTGCTTGAAGTTGCACCTGTGTATGTATGTACATACGTAAATACGTACTTTCGTCATCAATAGATCCAATGCATAATCCTAGTGGACCCAACATCAATAGGGTACCCTGATGCAGGGATGTACGTTTTTGATGTCTAAGGCATGTCCAACGTCCAAACGTCCAAGTGTCCTATCTAAGTTTTATGAAGTAATTAATTTATTTGAAATAATATAATTATATATATATTTTTTTTAGTTTTGATTATTTTTATTTAGAGGGTCTAAATAGATTATCTTAATAAAATTTTGAGTAATTTCAATATTTAAAAATGTTCAAGATGTTCAAATTTTATCCAATCTTCCCTAGTATTGCCATAAAATTCTACTATGATGTGATAATGAAAACTTCTTTAAAGTTCAATTAGGATCTATGTTAGGGTTTGGTGTTAGGGTGTATTAACAGTAAAATCGCCTGAAGAAAACTTTTAGTTAATGCACAGAAGGTGATTTCATATGCAAATTTTGAGAAATAGGCGATTTTTGACAAAATAACCGTTCTTTTAACGTGTTTTGAATTTTCCTGATCGTGCTGCGTTACATCAAATAGTGGTTCATTATTGGCTAATCATCATGCGAAAGCAGACTTTTTATGGCGATAATGAGGTGGTTTTTTGTCCGATACAACTACGGGCAATCTTCCCCAGTATCGCCGTCAAAATTTTCACTTTCACGTGACCGCGTTTAAAAATCTTTAAATTCGTTTAAGTTAGGGTTAGCGTTTATAATAGGGCTAGGTTTTAGAAGAGTAATAGTAAAATCACTCGAAGAATTTTTTTTGTTAGAGCTCAAAAGATGGTTTCTTATGCAAGTTTTTGAGGAATAAGCGATTTTTGAAAAGCGAACGTTTTGTTTTGATCTTCCTGATCGTGTAACGTTACATTAAACCGAAACACGCTATTGGATGATCATCACGTGAAAGTGAAAATTTGACGGCGATCCTGGGGTAGTTCTACGGGCACAGCGGGCACAGCGTTTCACATGACTTATAAGCACAACATTGGCCTGAGTTAAGGTTAGAGTTAATATTAAGGTAAATGTATTTTAATGCTGGTCATTTTTGTGCTCATAAGTATATAAACACATGAAATGCTGTGTCCGTAGCAATCCTTTAGCAGAGACGGTTAAAATGATTGACTATTTTAAGTTAACAATTCCTGAAATAGCAATTAATTTTTATATTGTAATTTATATTATAATTTATATACAGGTAATATATTATACTACTATTATATCATACTAGGAAATCAGAATCTGATATGAGTCCGAAGCGAAATTGTATTAGTAAAAATATTTCTCCTAATTTTATTAAAACTCAAATTTGTAGATAAAGATAAAAATAGGATCATAGTAGATTTTTTAAAATAAAGATGAATAAGTTTTATCTTATTCAATTTCTAATTTAATATAAACAGGATAAATTTTATTCTTAAATATTAATTAGTTCATTAGCAAATTAGATCATTAATAAATTCTAAACTTTGAATAGAATCGAAATAATAAGTTAAAATTACCATAAATACATACGAACTATAAGCATTCATTAGCAATCAAATGGCATATAGAAAAGGTTTCCTCTGGTCGACCAATTTTAACTGGTTATTATATTTAGACTATATAGAGTACTTTTCAAAAAACCACAATACCGATACTATATAGTAAAGAATTCTCAAATTTGTGCTATTAGTGTCATTAATGTAAATCACAAGTGCTTAGATGCTACCAGGGTTGGGTAACTTACGTAAATTATTTAAACTGTCAATAAGTTAAATTTTAATTGACATAACTTATGTAACTTATATATTTAATTACTGAATAAGAATCGGTTTTTTATGAATTTAGTATTCCTAATGCAAACCAATTTAATCTCAAAGTTGACCTACATTAACATACCAGGATCGGAGTTTGTACAACGTATAGGCATCTGAAATGGTGTGTCTCTTTTTTATCCGATTGGTTGTTCTAATCTTGTGACTTCGTCTTGTGATTTCTAGATTTTTACCGACATTAGTAGCCAATTAGATCGAAGGATCAGGTATAACGTAAAATCAAAACAATCGAATTAAGCGAAAGATTTTAAAGTAATAAGCATCATCTTTAGAGTTAGGATTAAGGATAAGAAAGGTCATAGCTTACAATAAAATTTCACGAGGAATTTTTTTTATTAGAACACAGAAAGCAGTTTCATAAGTAAAATTTCGAAAAGCGATTTTTTAAAAAGACGTGATTTTCACGTTACACCTGCTCCTTCAATCTAATTGGCCATGGTCATGTGCCGGAAAAATCTTGTGGGTTACCTATAAAGCTTTTTGTCTATTGAGACAGCATGACAGAAATTCGTTTTGATTGGTTGTCGATCCAGATCATCAAATTGACCATGATTGGTTGCAATTTCATGAGTTATAATATTTGTTGCACAAAAAGTCTTTTTTCCGTAAAGGATAATACCCCCTGTTGTTCGTATAACCAGGGATTTTTTTTTTACTAATGCATTATTCAAGTTCTAAAGCACCATTTAAAACTTTCAGATCACTATGGATCAAATAGAAAAAGGTAGTTCACTTATATGTAAAAATTCGAAAAAACATGAAAATTTTATTAATAATCTAAATTCATTATTAAGTAAATCTTCCAATTGCTTGCGTAATTAAAAGATTTTTTTTTACTAGCATTATTCAAGTTCTAAAGCACTGTTTAAACCTTTCGGATCACTATAAATCAAATAGGAAAAGGTAGTTCACTTATATGTTAAGATTAGAAAAAGTATAAGAATTTTATTAATAGTTTTAAATTCATTTTTTTTTTTTACTACAGTAGCTCATTTTTATAATCGAGATACATTTTGATCTTTAGATAAGAAAACTATAAATTATATATTTTTAATTATTGCCATCTATCTACATTATCTAACGCACTTTGTAAATCTATCACTGTTTCATTTTCTTGTATATTATTAGGTTCTTTTGTATTTTCTGAATCTTGAGTCTCTTTTTCAAGTCTGTCATTGTCAGTAAGAATGTCATCTTTTTTTCAAGTCTTTCTAGAAATAAATTAACATTCTTATATATCCCATTCTTATAGTACTCCCTACAATATCAACATCCATACTCTATTTTACTATAGCAATGTCAATAAAAACCATGTTTGCAGATTAACACAGTTTCACCTCCATTTTCACTTAGTGTTTCATAACAATCATCACAAAGTTCTGAAAAAGGAGATGCACTGGTACTATAGCTTATTGGCAGTCACATAATATTAGTATCTTCATCTTAAATGGCAAGTTTATATTTTAAAGGTTTTTTTTTTTTTTGTTTTTTATTATTTGTTATACTAGAAACTGCATTAATATGTTGAAAAGTTTGATGAAAATAATTTAACAAGAATAGTAACATTTTATTTTCAAGATATTTTAGAGCAGAAGGAGTATATAGATATCTTTTTTCACATTAAATGCTTCTTTAAATGAAGAGTTCTTTTTTTTTTTTTTTATAAGAGAGGTCTTTCCTTTAGTTCTTTATTTTGGTAATATATAATTAAATACATTAGTACAAATTGATACATTAAACTAAGGAAGTAGGGGTTAGGGTTAATTTACTCTCAACCTATTCTTAGCTAGAATGGTTAAGAGACCTCTAGTCTATGGGTTTAATGAGAGGAAATATTTGATTAAATTGTATGAATTTATGAAGCCATATCATATATTGTCTATCTATAGGAGTTGTAGGTGTAACATTCCTGTTTTCAAAAAGGTTTAGTGACAGTGAAGGGTGACATTGAAGGTGTTGTCTGCTTGGTTTCTATATATGTTTATATATTTTCTTTGTAATTTAGTGATATATATTTGGAAACAAATTTGGTTTCTTTTTTAATGATCCCAAGTTAGATAAGTTGTCAGTTATAATTCCTATTGGAATTTTTTGTTTTATATGAATGTCTTAAATTTCTTGAGCTAAGTCAGGTGTTATGGGCAATTCGATCTTGTTGTCTTCACAAATTTTGGTAATTGCTTCTTTTATTA